ACAGTACTCTGAAAAAAGAGATTGCAGAGGATTTCAGAAAATGGAAAAATATTCCATGTTCCTGGATAGGAAAAACCAACATTATAAAGATGGCCATACTCCCAAAGTTCTTGTACACATTTAATGCAATCTCTGTGTATTCAAACTGGTTAGGATAGATATATAGTTGCATTCTCTTAATGAATAGAATGATTTGTTCTAACGGTGTTTGTAAATACGATCTCAAGTCCTCATCTTGTACAGCAATTAATCACTAAGAAGAATATATGCAGTGATTTATTTGTTGAATCTGTACTTCCGATTTGATTTGAAACTGTCTCATTGCTATTTGTTTATCAATGAAATTTAAAAAAAATAAGAAAATAAAAAAAACATTCCAAAATTGTAAAAAAAATGTATTTCTCAGTAATTTTATTTGGATTTCTTCTAATGTAAATAAATTTGAGCATATTTTCATGTGATGAGTCATTTTAGCAGGCTGTGTAATCCTAGCACACTTGGGAGGTTGGCACAGGAGAATAATGAGTTTGAGTTTAGTGTGGGATGCAGAGAGAGAGAAAGAGAGAGAGAGAGAGAGACAGACAGACACACAGACAGAGACAGACAGAGACAGACAGAGACAGAGAGACAAAGAGAAACAGATAGACAGAGAGACACACAGAGAGATAGAGAGACAGGGACAGCATTTTGTTTTTCTTTCTGTGACCTCTGTTCATTTTTTTGTCTCATTTTTATTGGGTTGTGGGTATGTTTCCTGCTGACCATTAAAGTTATTTAAAAATTCTGTGTATGTATCTTTATGATTACACAGGCAAATAATATGGAAGGTGAAAACTGCTACCAGAGTTATTACAGTAAGTGCATTTCCTGACCAACCCTGACATCCTGACAACTGAGAGGCCAACATTTCTGAATGCTTGCCATGGAGTTGGCCCACTGAGCAATCTCCTTGGGCAGAGTAGTAATGGAGCCCTGGGCACACCCCAGAAAGCAGGCCTCTTCTGCCTCATCTGGCTCTTCTTAGAATCATTTTTTCTTCTTTCTCTGTTCAGAGATCTTAATTAATTTCTTCCCCCTTGTGCTTGAAGGAGACCCACTTATCCAGAGACCAGAGTGTGGTGTGTGTGTGTGTGTGTGTGTGTGTGTGTGTGTATTGCACTGTGGGGCAGCTGACAGTAGAATAGGTACTGTCTGGAGTACTCTCTCACCAACTGCTCTGACCCCACTTTTCCCAAGGTCGTCTCCCTGAGTGAGCATAGCTCACAGTGAATCTCCTAAGTACCCAGACTTCCTCTTTTGAGATGGATCTCAGAAAAGAATTGCTGCTTGTCTTCCCCTCCTTCATCATTTATGGCTTCTGTGTTAGCTGTCTCCCTATTGGGGGAGGCTGAGTAAAATATGTGTGTGTGTGTGTGTGTGTGTGTGTGTGTGTGTGTGTGTGTGTGTAGGGGACTGGATTCCTTTCAGTTCTCCTTTCCTGCATTGTCACTTGGCCATGGTCAACCACTTTCATTGGTGCCCGTATGCCCAGCAGAAGATCTCAGGGACCCTCTTGTATGGCTGCTCAGAGACTGCTGCATTCTTCCACCAGCCCAGGGGTAGGGTAAATTTAGAGCCCTTCCCCAGCCTGGTTCAGTTTTTCTGGAGTTTGGAGATGGGCTCGCTGGTTTGGGGACTGGTCTTCGCTTTTCTCTCATTTCCTTGAGTATAGAGTTTTGGTTGGCTTTCATGGAGGAGAATTAAAAACTCTATCACTAGTAGGAAGCCCCCGCTTTGTGCATACTGGCTGTATTATAATGCACAGGAGCCAAGGGGTTACGTAGTGAGCTGGAAATTCTCACACCATTAACGATAATGCTCCTACTCATTGATATTGGAGTTTATTACTCATTTCAAATTTTCTGTAATCTTTTCTCTATTTTCCTGAAGGCAGGTGGTATATTATTATTATCCTTGTCCTTTTCACACACAGACATCCAACTCTCGTGTTACCTGAGACATAGAAGGCAGCAGCGATTTATCAGTCTCACATATAAAGAAGGGGAGAGCTGTTGAGAGCAACATGTTCACAGGCAGGGCGGAAGTGTTCTTTATAACTAAGGGCTGGTAATCAGGTTCTAGGTTAGTGTTAGGTTTCTGTGGAAAAAGAAAAAGAAGAAACAAACCAAGCTAAGTCTCATATCCATGGTGAACATCAAATTCAATTGTGTCTGCAACCCCCCTTAGGTGTCTATGTCCTGTGGTAGAAGTTTATGTGCATCATGTGAAATGACGTGTGGCAAACTACTGAAAAGCCTGCAGAACCCAGAAAAGGCAGATTAGATCTTTGACTTGTTGCCTACTTGAGAAAAGCCTATAGAAGTCATGCTTCTGGTTAGAACTATTACTGCAGGAATTCCCACAATATCATAGGACAGAACTTAATAAATTAGCAAGATCTTGTGAAAGAATCCGGGTATGCTATATGAGATAAATATTTGCCCTTATGTAATGCTTTTTCTATGCTTACAATACCCAAATTGCCAGCCTGCTTCTCTTGTAACAGAAAAATGCTCATAACTATTTTCTGTAATTTTTCCTGATTCCAGCAGGAGAGGTGGTTTAGGAGAATATTCTCACACTGTTAGATAAATCATACCTAAATTTTCAACAGAGAAACCATTTGAAATGGATACTGAACTGGATCTTTCTGGTCAGATTAGATTTTCCTCATTCTGATGTTGGGGCCCACATTCTTCCAGGGGTGCTCTGGAAAGGGGGTCATTTAGCATCATTGGGAAGTGACCAAAAGCCTTCATCTCTGGCCTCCAAAAGGAATCCTCCTCCAATCTTTCCTGGGCTCTTGTAAAACTGCAGCTTGTTTTTGCCAGACTTCTGCGATTGGAGAGGCTTTGCCTCTTCTTACTCCAATTTCAATTGAATTCTCCTAGTTTCACAGTCTGCCATGTGACTCTGACATTCAGTTTTTGTCCCACATTATCTTCCTTCCATGTGGGTCCCCAGCCCTTGGTCCTGGGGACACCCTTGGATAGCCACTGTCCCTTGGCTGTAGCCTCTGGCCTCTACACTAGTCCTGCATGTACTCCAAGGACATGCCTGGTACTAGCCATTCAGTACCAATCCCTGATTTCCTCCCTCTAATATTGCATAGACACTGAGTCCTGTTGTGTCTGCAGGCTGTGTATCCCAGGTGAGGGAGGGATGAACCTGCCCATTTAGGCTTTCTACATAGCAGACTGAATGGAGAACTGTCTACCCACTGACCTTCCCTGGAGGCTGCTGTGTCACTGCAGATGGCTTTGTGGCATCCAAGCCACACTTGGATGGTTTTGGCAAGAGGCCATTCAGAGAGTGGTGATGAGAGGAAGCTGAAACTTAGAGAAGCCGATCTATTTTAAAATGACCCCTTCTCTCTGGGTTGTTTTTTCCCCAAATATCAGCAGACAGAATTTGCTGCTGGAACTTCATGAAGCAAACAGGCTGAAAGTTTCAATTGACCTTTTCAATCCCACAGAGATGTATTTTCATCTCCACAGTTTATGAATGGTACAATTGTTATAAAGTAGATCAAATCTGCAGAAATAGTTATAGAAAAACCGTTTCCATAGACAAGGTTCGTATTCTAATGGACCAAATAAGATGCGCTGCCTTGAGCTGACAACAAGGAAGCAGAACAGATAATTGGGCATCAGACAATTAAATCTGAATATCAAGACCTAACGGGTCTGCTACACACGCTGTAATGAGGTTGCATGTATTCCTCATCCCTGTTAGGCAGCAAACGTGGGCAGGAAATGAACAATGAAAAATATAGTAGCAGGAAGGATTTCAAACTTCTGATATGTGGGGGAAGGAGAGAAGGGTATAAACAAACAGCAGGGAGTTGTGACTGTATTCACTTTTTAATTCAACAAGAAGTTACTGCCGTATTCAGAATATTTGCATATTTTAATCTGGTCATGAACTCAAACAATAAGCATTTAAGCAAAAATATGCTACGCCTCCCAAAAGGCATGAGGCTATGAAGAGAAGAAAAAGAGCACTATCCACATATTTTTATGAGTGTTTGTGGGCTTAGAAAAATCTAATAAAACTAAGCTGAATATTTAACATATATTATAATGTCTTGCACGGAATAGCTATTCAATAAATATTCACTGAATATTCTCTGAATAGTTGTGTTTAGAGAAAATACGATGCCACCTAATTCAGTGCAGCTGTTGCCAATAAATATCCTTCCTGATTACTTAAAAAGAAAAAATTTAAAGTAGAGTAATGAAACTTAATAACTGTGGTTAATACTATTATTTTTTCTGCTTGCAGGGCTTCCTGCATGCTAAGCAGTGCCTACCACAGAGTGACATCCCCAGGTCAATACAAACTCATAGTATTTCCTTTTTAGATGTGTCATGGACTTTGTGAGCTCCATGTTTAGCTTTGCTGTCACCAAAACCCTTGTTCTACCTCTTCAATGCCCGCTTTCTCCCTCAGTCTGTCTGCTCTTTGCTGTGTCTTTTCCGCCTGTACATTCTAGCACACTGTAGGTACTTAAACATGATTTATCGATTTGAATTAAACTTATATGTCTCATCTCCCCTGTTGACCCATAGTTCCTTTATTCATATCCTAGCAGAGCACCTTATGCATGGTGGCACCCAATAGATTTTTCTTTGTTTTGATGAATAGTATATGACGGGATCCACTACCAGAATACGTGGTCTTGAACATTATCCTGTAAACCTTAAGATAACAAAAGGAACTTCAGGTGATCCTCCCATGGCTGGATGGGCACTACCTACCTAGCATTTTTTGTATGAGAGCACAGATCATATGACGAGACAATAGATTCCTTCATGCTTGGTCTTCCCAGTAGGGTGTGAAGTTCATCAGGGAGAGCCTGTTCTCACCGCTGTGATGCTAGACCCCCATGCAGTGTCTGGGGCATGAGAGTGTGAATAACCATCCCACTCAGTAGCCAGCTTGGCTGCATTGGTGAATAATTCTTACCATGTCACGGTCCTTCCTGGAGCACTCCAATGGTTACAAGAACAAAATTCAAAGTCCTGAACATGTATTACAGGCATGCCATTCACATCTGGCCCCTGTCCCTTCTCCAGGGAAATCTCCAGTGATTCAGGGTACATTTTCTGTCAAGGTGGGCTTTTCTCAGGCTCACCAGGCCCTTTCCCAATGCAGGGCCTTGGCACCAGCTGTTCCTCCTGCCTACAAACCTTTTCCTCTCCCTTGTCACTAGACTGCCTTCTATTTTTTACTTCAGTCTTAATTGAGTCACCTGCTCAAGGAAGCTGCCTGTGTTCACAGGTATAGCTATGTCTCCTGATCGATGCTTTCACACCACTTCATAGTTCTTCAAAGCAGTGTTTACACTGGGATTGAAACAATTAAAATTTGAATTATTTATTACAATCTACAACCTCTACCTGTCTCTTAGCTTTGATTGTCTGGGTTATGAGACTTTGGGCACCAGCACAGCCCCTGAGTCAGAACAGATGTTCTATGCACCTTGCTTTTGAATGGTAAGCAATTCTTGAATGGAAGCCTGCTTACAAGTAGGTCAATTCACACACTGTGATGTGTCCCCCACCTCTTCACCATCCCAACCCCTGCCTGGCAGCAGCCATTCCTGTCTCTGCTCTGACCCCTGACTCTCCCATTTATTGCCTGGCTTTAACAGCCATATGAAGTCCCAGACATCTTAAAAAATGTAAACAGCAGTTCTTTTGTTCTGCATTTGCATATACTTTAGTAACAAAGTCACTTTAGCTGTAAATGAACAAAAATAAGGAGACAAGGAGACAGCACACAATCCTTGCATAGCTCAGGCATGCTTGAAACTGGAAAGCACATTGTGTTAGCAGAGGATACACTTATTAATTCTGATTACATAGACTTCTAAAACATTATGAAAGAGTTCAAAGTTAGGTCAAGCCATGTTGTTGAGAAAATTTTGTCCTAAAATTTTAACCAAGTCTTTTTTAAAAAAGTCTAAAAGCCTCCTATTTTCCCACACTGACTTTCAAAACATTTTAGTTTTCTATCAGAATATCAATTTGCAACTTATATTTTTTACCATACATGAAAATTTAGCAAAAAATTTGGTGGGTCTATACTAATTGTGACTATATTTACACTAAGCAAATTCTTTTACAAGTTCTTTATATACAAATTGCCAAGGGATGGCCAGAGAGTTCAGTGGATTAAAGTGCCTGCTTAGGCAGACACAGGGACTGGGGTTCGATTCCCAGCATGCTGTGCCAGCCCTGCCTTCCCCCCCAAGGAATGCTGAGACGAGGTTAGGACTGTGTGTGGTGGTGCGCACCTGTAATCTCAGCACTTGGGAGGCTGAAAACAGGAGAATCACTACGAGTCCAATCTGTGCAGTGAGACCCTGTACTAAAATTAACAAAAGACCCAAAAAACAAATTGCCATTTGTGTTATGTGAAATTCATTACAAAGTTACAAACTGCAGAAATGTCATTAGAAATAACATATTTAAAATGTGCTTTCCATCAATAAAGAACATTTTCAAATGATTTAGTTGAAATGTACTGATCTCGTGTCAATTTTGGCTTCTGAATGTCCTCTGGTCAGCTACTGCTCTGCTGCTGCTGGATCTTGTGAGCGAGGTTCAACAAGAACTTGTTGACTAACTTATTGCCTGGCAGTGCTCAGTGATATGCACAGCTTAATTTATAATCTCAGCCTACTTATGTGCATAATGAGAATAATAACAGAACCTACTGTGTAGGGCTTCTTTACAAGAGAATTGGGAAAATGTGTATAGTGGACATGGTTCAGACCTAGTGATACTAATCAATACATGGTAGTTTTTCTTATTGATTATAAAAATCATTGATAATTGTAACCCAATGCTGTACTATGATGATTATTTTACCTAAAGCAAAATGGTTGACTAAAATACATTTTAAGTGCTCTGGAATATTCCTTTTTTGTTTCTATATATTGGGAGTGATGGAAATGGGATTTCTATCTCAAAGAATTATGTTTGGATTCAGAATTTTTAGTTGAATGTATACTGGACTCTGACTTAAAAATATAAGCTGATAATAGTTGTAATAGGATTCCAATTAATTTAGCACACAAAATTAAAAGGTGAACATATCTGGGTATGGTACAGCATGCCTGTAATCCCAGAACTTCAGGAGAGTGAGGCAGAAGGCATGCAAATTCAAGCTCAGTCTGGGCAACTTAGCAAGAGCTTTTCTAAAAATAAACAATAGAGAAGAGGTGGGAATGTATCTCAGTGCAAAGGTCCTGGTTTCAATATTCAGCATCACCCAAACTTTCAAACAACAGCAAAAACCCCCAAAATTCTGACCACGCCAATCCCAGTCAGGGCCTCTAGGCTCTGAGTCCAGCCTCACTGACCTTTTCCAGGCGGTATACCAGTTGTCTGGTGGAGAGCTGGATGAGAGGCGCTACAAACTCACAGATGATGTTCACAGTCATCAGCAAGCTCTTCCCCTTCTTCGCACCAACGATAGCATGACACACCAACTTTTCTTTGACTACCTGCACATTATATGCAACAACATTTTTGAAGTAACCATTACTCAGACAATAACCTACCAAGATCAAACCAATTCCAAACTATCTGCTGAGGACATGAAGGAAGAACACATTTCCCTGAATAGTGGATTTCAGGGATTGTTTCCTATCATATAGTTATGGTCTGGTTGGTTAAATGTGGTTTTGATGAATTCAATGTTTATTTCTGACTTCTCCTGAGGACACAATCAACTTACATTCAAATCCTTTACGGGTTTTGTAGTTAAATGGCAATTACATAATTTCTTATCAAACTGGTTAAAACTGTGGTTGGATTATCTTTTATACTTACACATTTGACTGCATAAAGTCATATATTGGAAAGTATTTTTTTTGCACTCAAGAAAGGCATATTTGCTTATAAAGTAGAAAGGATCAAAAATGAGTTTATATCATGACTAGCTTGTCCTGAGCAGTGCTCAGGTTTGGGATGTTAATGAATTGAGCTATACAGCATGATTTAGAAGCACATTCAGGGAAGCTTTCAGTAAAGCTTAAGCTGAATTCAGTGCCCCAGTAGCTTAGATTGAATCCTTTTAAAAAACATGTTCAGCTCTTAATAACCACATCATTAATGGCCCCTCCTACAGATTGTGTTTTTTGAGATAAGCAGCTATATGCTATTCATCTCTGCACCTTCAGTGTCCACTATGGTGTTTGTCACATGATACATAGTCCAGAATTTTGGCTGATCCCTTCAGTAACAGAGAGCAGGAACACATTATGGACCCTATAATGAGAGATAAGGTTTTTGTTCTATGTATTCTAACTGAAAATGCTTTGTGAAAAAATAATGTAAATGGAATAGTGGACTCTGTGACCCTTAAGAAGTGAAGAAATGGACCAGCTTTTCCATCTTGTCTCTAGGAGATAAATTTCTTATTGCTTCTTCTTTCATGAGGAGAAAATCCACTATAACCTCGGAGCATGGCAATACAAGCAGAAGCTTAAGCAAGCATCATTTTTCAGTCACAAAGTCTGCATTTGTGAGATGGGAGACTTTTAGGTGACTTCAAAAGTCTGTTTTTAGGTTTTTTGAGGTTTCCAAACTCCACGAGGGAAATGTAATAAATAGACACAAGGTTTGGACGTAATTAAATGTCTTAAGTAGAATGTACCGTGATAATGTAAATAACAGAAGAAAATCGAAGTTTCTGAAGATAAACACGACCATTTCATTGGTATATACAAAGATGATGTTTTTAACTGTTACACTATTGTAATAGTTGGGGAAGGCCTAAACCAGGTATATGCTGCCATATCTGACTATATAAAACACCCCTGAATATCTATAAAATACCTTTTGAATAAATATTAAATTAATGCTGATGAGTGTTAACAAGAACATCTGCTTTGAGCTGGATGTTTCCCTCCTCAGACTGGTTGGCTAGTTACTGTTGACCCTGGGAGAGTTAGCACCTGCTTTAAATGATCCTTTAAGGTTGGGCTTATGGTAGCTATAGAAACAAGCAGAAAACTGAGCCGAGCTCAACCTTGAAAGCGATGGATGCTGCCATGGTAACTCAGTGCTGCAAAAAATCCTTGTGAAACCGCATTTTTTCTCAGATAAATGTCAAAGGACTCTCTTAAGAAATAGACACAGTACAGCAAAGATTTATTTAGGAGAAAAATCGCTTCTAAATGTGCTTTCCTCTTACCCTGGGAGTTGCAGAATAGCCTTCCAGAATCACATCGATTGTCTGGCCTGGGTAGAGCTCCATCCTGATGGGATGAATCTGAAACACTGGGCTTTCTGGATCCCTGGACTCCTGGGAGTCCTGGGGCTGCAAAGGACAACCAGGTCTCCTTTTAACCTGTCCCTTCTTGCTCAACTTCTGGGGATGATAACCCTCATTCATCCAGAACAACTGTTGGAACCGACGTCCCATGTTGGTCAACTTGAAGCGGTAATAATAGGTGTCCAGGCTGGAAAAGAAAGGAGAAGTGAGAGAACTCAAATTACGGATGTTATGTTCAGCTCTATGTCCTTAGGATTTACTCTTATGAAAATATTTAAAAAGTAACAGGATAAGATATTCATTTCATTTTAATGTAGAAAGTCTAAGATATATGAAGCTACTCAGAACTATCACAGCGGTGGAGTGCAGTAGTTTCTACTCAGGGGCCCCAAAACTTAAGAGTCATGAACCTGAGTTTGATCCCAGAGTTGCCATCAGTAGGTGAGGGTTTATGGGAAGGCAGCCCTCCAAAGTAGTGTAAGCATAGCCCAGGACACATAGACACAGTTCGAGTGGAAAGCACTCTAATTAATGAGAGATAGTTCTGGGATGTTCTGAAAGCGAGGCAAAATAGCAACTGGAGAAGAAACATATTTGAAGGTGTGTTGAGCAAATTTCTGTAGATTGGGTGAAATGTCTCCTGATAGGTGCAATTTGAAGGATGCTCTGAAAAGAAGCAACAGGTATCTTTCAAGTTTTATCAGAGGGGAGGCAGCTGAGAGGAGGTGGACTTGAATACTACCCAGACTGGGCACTTTTCTTGGATCATGTACAGTAAGACATTGCTCATTAATTAATTAGTTCATTCATATTTAGTTTACAAAAATTTTCTAAGGACCTCTTGATTGCTTGGCTCTTTATGAATAAATCAGGGTTTCTAAGATTTTAAGGACAGTTCAAATTGTTTTGTTTTGGATCTTAAAAATTGATTTATAGGCTTGGTTTATTTTGGCTTTTGGTGTTTTGTTTTTTTCAAAGAAAAACCCACATTAGGACTTTTTCATTTTTAATATTTTATTAGACTGATATTTCATTTTATCTGCTCCTCCTTAGGAAATGACACATCTAATAAGTTGAAGCATCAAATAATCAGAAGAACTATCTGTCAATTGTGTGGTAAAACTCTAAATATGTGTCTATAGTGCACGCTCAATGGAGCAAATTTACTTGGCAGTTTCGCTTTATGGCTAGTGGTAGGCTTGCGGGGGGGCATAGTAAGTAACATGTACTGTTTTATAAACTGGGCACGGAGTCCTTTACTTATTCACAATGTATCTTTAAACCACAGAAACAGAGTCACCATAAATCTGTGAACTCCCATATTATAAAATAATAGAAGCTCTCCAAAGCTGAGGGCATGGCCCCACACCATGCAATGGGCTGGGGATGTATTTCTGTAGACCAGGGGTTGGTCAACATTTTCGGTAAAGGGCAGAATGATAATGATAACAACAACAACAACAACAACAACAATAGTAATATTTTAGGCTTTTTTGGGCTATGTGGTCTTTTTCCTAACTCTGTTATAGTGTGAAAGCCACCAGGGCTACAGTGGGTACGTGCCAATAAAACCTTATTTATGCAAGCAGGAAGTAGGCTGTGGTTTTCCTATGTCTGCTTTTGATGATTATTCTTATTGCTAAAAATATGAGTTTATGTCAAAGGGTTTATGCAAAGGACAAATTAGCAGCTAACAACTACAGTTGTTTATATACTCAAGGAAAACTGTTAACCTTCCAATTCCAGGCAAGGGTTGGAATATCCCTTTGGGGCTATTTGACACTTTTTCTAGATTAACAATATGCAGACAGGGGCCAGGCAAATAGCTCAGCAGATTAAAGGCAATTGACACTGGGCATGGTGGCATACACCTGTAATCCCAGCTCTTGAGAGGCTGTAAACAGGCGGATCATTATGCGTCAGATCTAGTAGTGAGACCCTGAACACCCTGAAGACCTTTCCCTAAAATACAAAACAAACAAACAAAAAACCTCACAAAAACAAAAACAATAACCAATATGCAGACAGATCAAGTTCGTGGTACCTTATTTTATAATTAGATTTGAGTATGCTTGAAGAAAATTAAAACTAGAAGCACTGGTATAAAATGACAAAATGCCCTAACTTTGGCCAACAGACTGACAGAAAGTAATATTTTTGCAATTGGATCATTCTTTGTAAATATATGCAATTCAGCTCTCCAACTTGCACGTTACTTAATTCGCCACTGGCTTATGGTATTGTCAATAAAGTACCAAGTTGTGTGTGGGGTGGGTAGAGGAAAGGCAGCATGGCTGGGACCATGTGGAGGGCTCCTGATGAGCCCCAGTTGCATTTTTTCTGAGCACAGTGCACACGGCTTGGCTTAGGGTCTGTTAGAACACAGGGCAGGAGGAGCAACCTGTGAGATGCGATCACCATGCTCTTTTCACCATTTCTTTTTCAGTATTGGAGATCAACTCAGGACCTTGCACTTGCCAGGCAGGCGCTCATGCCACAGAGCTACAACCCCGGCCAGCGATCCCAGAACTCTTACAGGTAGGTACAAATCCAGCTGGCGTTCAGTGGTCAGTTACTGATAACTGTAGAACTATCTAGAGGAATCAGAAATAACTGTCCACATGTATATTCTACCCTCACTATTCAAACCTCATACTTTTAATATCTATGCTATATATTTTTTTGCGTTTTAGGGAAGGGCCTATAGGGTGTCCAGGGTCTCACTACTAAATCAGACTCATAGTGATCTGCCTATTTACAGCCTCCCAAGAGCTGGGATTACAGGTGCGTGCCACCACGCCCAGTCTTCTATACTATATTGTGCTGCTCAGAGGTATCTATCCTATCCCTTCTTGTATTAAATATTCAAGCCCTCTCCCCTCTATTTAGACCCTGGATAATCACAGGAAACCAACTGTAGTATGGTAGGAGGTGAGTAGAAAAATGATACCAAAAAAAAGCTACTGACTGTAATAGCTGACAGGAATATTTGCAGCAAGTGTTTGCCTCCCTAGGTATACTCTGTTTAGGTTTTATAATCAGAGTGGTATAAGAAGTATAAAGGAATCAAAGAGGAGAAACCATGGTTGAGACTCTAAGTTCATTACAGAGAAGTCACTACAAGTTTGGGAGAACAATACTCCCTAAATCATTCCCTTCCCTAGAGAAGACAGACATAGACTGGAGAATGTAGCCATGCTATAACCAAGAGGCGGCATCTTGTGGCCAACATGGCCAGTGAGAAGCGGGAAAGTGAGGCAGGGACAGGAGAGAAGCTCAACTGGCTGTCCTACTTTCTTAAAAACAAGTTTCTAAAGTAGGTGATGGTGCAGCCTATGAGGTATTCATAAAAATTGGTCCATCATATTTTCCCACCTAAAATGTGCTCCCAAATTGAGCTCTGGAGCGAAGGGCTTATTTGAAACAATGGTAGAGCCAATTCCTGAAGCCTGGACAGGAATCTGATAGGTGTTGCTATTTTCAATGTCCAAAAAGACTGTGTCCTTGAACGTCAGAATGTCATTCAGGTTGGCAGTGAGTATCAGGGGAACGTTAGTTTCCGCAGGAACGGTGCCTTCTTTGGGTTCAATTGTCCAAAGGGAGTTTTTGTTTGCCTGCAACACAAGACCACAAGTTAACAAGGAGGATATTCTTGGCTTTTCATCCTGTACATGTTAAAGTCCTCTGTACTTCACATGGTTGGCACAGCAGAAGTCAACATCAGACACAAACATTATTTTTTAGAATCAAAGCAGCTGAATGTTTGTTGGCATTTCTTTTTTCAAAAAGCTGTCTGATTCCGAAGAGCAAACCTCCGATTCTACTTTTGAATGCTCTGTGAAGATTTTTCACATCTCTTTCCCATGACGACAACCTAGTTTTCTAAGAAGCTTATACTAATTATCTGCTCCAATCTCCAAATTCTGAGATGCCAACGCAAGACACCACATTTTTACAGAATTTGGAATTTTAGAAGAAATGCTTTTCAAATGCAAAATTTTTAGCATTTTAGAGTGAGGATGAACAGCTGTTACTAATAAACAATACAGGAAGTCACCCTGACTTCTACTATTTCATAGCAATTAATAGGATTTAATTAGCTAAAATTCCAAATTTACCTTGAAATATGTGATAAAATGGAATTATGCCATTGGAAATGACTCCCACTAATCTAGTCCTTTTAACTGCCTGGCTCTTTACAGCTCACTCATTTTCTTCCTTAAGTTATTTGGCAAAATAACATCTACTCTGACCACTACCCTTTATATAGAGAACCTGTCTTTGGCACTTCTGTTCACCTTTACCTTCATAATTTACTTACCATGCTTATTGCTTGTCTCCTGGTACTACAGGTAATCTCTAGGGACTTTTATCTTTTGTTTGTTTACACTTGTTTAAATGCTGTGAGCATCTATAGCTCTGTATGCTACAGTAGTAGGTGTTTAATAAATGTTTTTTTAAAAAATTATTTATTTATTATTTATTTATTTATTTGGTACAGGGCCTTGCTATGCAGCTCAGGCTTATAGTGATCCTCCTGTCT